AACACAAGCAGGGGGAGTGGGAGAGGGAGAAGCAGGCTCCCCGCCAAGCAGGGAGCCCGATGCGTGGCTCGATCCCAGGACTCTGGGATCATGACCCGAGCCGAAGGCAGTCGCTTAACCAACTGAGCCACCCAGGCGCCCCAATAAATAAAATCTTTAAAAATAAAAAGATTTTATTTATTTGAGAAGGAGGGGAGGCAGAGGGAGAGGGAGAAGGAGACTCCCCACTGAGCAGGGAGTCCAGTGCGGGGTTCGATAATTCTGGGATCATGATCTGAGCTGAAGGCAGACAGACGCTTAACTGACTGAGCCACCCAGGCGCCCCTAAGAGAATCTTTACCATGAAGATTCCTAGGCTACAAAGGGTCTCCCTATGGCCTTGGTTCAATATCAAGAGAACTTTTTTGTTTTGCTTTTTTGGGAATTGCCTTTTGGTGGGTCCTAACATCCTTTTGTCTTTGAGTAGTACCACATGGTTTTCAATGACATATAGGGATGTGTCCACATTCTTCTCAAAATTGTCTAGAAAAGTTTCTCTCTTTAGAGTAGAACATCTGATCAGTGTTTAACAGAGATTTATGGAGTACCTATTTTATAGAAGGTACTGTACCAGGTGCTAGGGATATAGGAATAGACAAGATGGATAGACTTCCTGGCCTCGTGGGGCTTGCAGAAGACTGTGGTGGTGAGCTGATTTTTAACTGGGTTTCAGCTTGGCACTGCAAGGCCATTTCTGGTTGAAGTATAAGTCTGTGTAAGGGATCTGGGAAGAAGAAGGATGGTGAGGCTTTACTTAACAGAAAAGTAATAACATGCACACGTGAAACTAATATAATATTGTATCTCAGTTATACTTGAATTAAAATAAAGTAATACATACTAGTTTTGGAAAAGTCAAAGTTGCAGATATACAAAAATATCACTTTTAATCTTACTACTTGAAGATAATTACTATTAAGGCTCTCACACTTTTTTATATGTATGTGTGTATTTTTTCTTTGAGGTGTAATTGACTTATAGTAAAATGCCCAGATCTTAAGAGTAGTTGATGAATTTTAACAAATGCATGCACTCATGTAACTTCAGCCAAATCAAGATGTAGTACATTGTCATCACTCTGTGAAGTTCCCTCATGACCTTTTCCGGTAAATTCACTTCTTCCAGAAATAACTGTTCTGATTTCTGTTTCCATAGATTAATTTAGCTTGTTCTTGAATGTCATATAAATAAAATCATTCAATATATGCATTTCTGTGTTTGGCTTCTTTTGCATATATGTGCAGTAGATAAACTTGTGTTTGGCTTCTTTTGCTTCTATATTTTTATTAACTTTTTAATGGATAATACATTTGTATGGTTCAAAATTTTAAAGATACAAAGGATGTACAGTGAAGAGTTTCCTTTCTACTGCTATTCCCACCAAGCACCCTGCTCTCCTCTCTAAAGGCAACAGATTTTAGGAGTTTCTTTTATCCTTCCAGAGATTTTATGTACAAGGAAATGTATACATATATGTGTATATATATATGTAAATTTTCTTACCCCATCTTTTGCACAAATAGTAATATATAGCATGCACATTGTTGTGCAGCTTTTCTTAAAACCCTAATGAGTATTTATTTAATCTTTTGCCAATCTTTGGCTGCTCCAAACAATGCCTCAGTCAAACCCTATGCATAAATTATTTTTCATGAGTATGAGTATAACCTATTATATCATATCAGAAAGTATGTATTGTCTGGTTGTTCTTTTTTGTGTTGTGTGGTAAGCCTGATCAGTGGGCTCAGGTGTGGTCAGCCCTCTATAGGGATCTCCTTATATTTCTCCAATCTTTTGCTGTTAAGTTTTAGCAGCCATTGCTAATCATTGTCTTCATCCATTATTTCGTCAGGGGTTGCAAAATGGTGATATTCTAATTTCGTCATTACTTCTGCATTTATCAGTTGGAATTTTTCTGTATTTATCAGTTGGAATTCTTCTGTAAAGAGCTTTCCTTTATCAGCTGTGATTGGATATGTAGCTGAATTCATAATTATTTCCTTAGGTTTGGCTCCTAGAAATTGAATTGCTTGGACAAAAAAGGGTTTCTATTCTTGAAGGCTTTTTATAAATATTGCCAAATTGCTGTTAAAGATGTGATACTACTTTATGCCTCCACCATTGTTAGATGAGTAAAATGGTGTTTGCAGGTTGTAGAAATAATGAAATAAAACCCGAGAGATGAGCAACAGAGTGAATGTCTTTGTCAATCAGAACTGTCATTCCTTGGCTTTTTCCCTCTGAGTACTAATAAACTGGTATTGAGATAACTATAGTGTGACTTTGGAAATAATTGTGTTTCTAGTTGGTGTACATAGAACATATTAATTTTGAAATTAGAAGGATGATTAGATAATACTGTTAGTAAAAAAAAACCCAACAATTTCATTTTTGTAATATTTGACTATGTATAATAACCATGTTTAAAATATAATGGCCCTTTCAGCTTAAACAATTACAAAAATGTAATGTTTTTTCCTTTGCAGTGACATTTCTGGGGGGAAACCCCTAGAAGTAGAGATGGCAGGGATAGAATACATGAACGATGATCCTGGCATGGTGGATGTTCTTTATGCCAAAGTCCATATGAAAGATGGCTCCAACAGGTATGTTTCTGGAATGCTTCTTTGCTTCCATCAAGAAGTTCCTAAAAGTATTCCTAGAAGTTCAACAAGTTTTGATTCCTTTTCTTTGAGACCTTATTATTGTAGAGAGTGTCAATTCTTTCTTTTCTTAAAATAGGAAGCTAATATCTTAAGAGAGAAATTTGTTGTAGGAAAAGTATCAGATTTTAATCTGATAATGATCGAGTTACTTGGGTGGTAGATATTGATTATAGCAATCTAGTTTTTATGAGCTCAGTCCTTTCTTCATGTTTTTCAGGGTTACAGGAGGCAGGAAGGATGGCATTTTATTTAGTATGGTAGTTGCAAAAGTGACATAATGCAGATCTAGTGAATACCAGGACAAAATGGGGATAACTCTGTAAGATTATTGGGATTAAGTTAATTTACATGAATGCTTAGAACAATGCTTAGCGCATGCAAACATCCTCAAAACACACATCAACAAATACTTACTGTTTTTTACTAGTGTTACCACACTTAGATCACTTGTAGGGATTCTCGGTCTGCAACCCAGGCTATTTCTGAGGCTAGCCTAGACATCCAGAGCTATTTCCAATATTAACACCATTTATTAGTCTAGTCAAGGTCTTCAGTGAGCAGAGGAGCCAAACTTGAATTGGAAGTTTGTTTTTGTGGTCTTTTTATTAAGGCAGGATAGAACAGAGCTCACACTGAACCAGAAACCCTCTAGAGAAAATCACAGTCTCTAGGCAGGCCCCCAGATTGATTTGCTTTTGTAGAGGATCCCTTGTAAGGTTTCTCTTATCTCAATTCAAATTGATAATCTCAATTATCTCCTATCTCAGTTCAATTGGAAGTGAATTTTGGGAGGAAGGTAGGAAAAGACGATACAGAATCAGGTGTGTGTGTTTTGGACCAGATTTGTCTTTTCTTAGATACCTGGCATGTGCCTAAATAGCATACTAATGACCTTGCCTTAAAAATTAGGGGCACATTGTTCCTTTGTTCCCCAAACATTTCTACCAGGTTGGAATTTGCTATCTGATATGCTTCATTTACTTTGTGTTGTAAGCTGTAGCTGTCCAAATGTCTTCACCATGTTGTAGGGCTGCTGTGTATGGGGTAGATTACTTTTCAGTTTTGTGAACAAAAACAGTGAATAATAAGGTAGCAGTTCTCAAACTTTTTGGTCACATAATCACTTTAATTTCTTAAAAATTATTGAGGACACCAAAGAGCCTTTTTCTATATGGGTTATAGTTATTAATATTTACCTTAATTGGAAGTTAAGATTGCAAAATTTAACATTTGATAGTTCATTAAAAATAGTAATAAGATATTTTTTGTTTACATAAATAACATATTTTTCATGAGAAATCTATTTCCCAAACCAAAAATATTTAGTGAGAAGATAGACATTGTTTCACATTTTTGTAAGTTTCCTTAATAGAAGACAGGTGGGTTCTTAAAACTGCTTCTGTGTTCATTCTGTTGCATTATGTTGTTTTGATTGAAGTATATAAGAAAATCTGGACTCACACAGAAATGTATTTGGGAAAATGAAGAGTACTTTAATAGTCTTCGGATAATTCTGGATATTTGGTACTACACTAAAACTTGACAGATTACAGTTTCGAAAAGGTCATTTGCAATGTGAAATCAGAAACGAGATCAGTGAACATTTCATACTCTTGCATTAAAATCCGTTGGTCTCTTTTGCATTTTGACTGGATCTTTATGTACAGTTTTGTATTGGTCATTTAGAAAATATTGGTTCACTGAGTTTTGCAGATCTTCCAAATGTTGACAAATTTCATTATGCAATATTAAAAATGTATTAATTGTGCTACTAATTTTATCACAGTCTTTAAGTATTAGGAAGCTGCTGTCAAGCTCATGGTAGCAGATACACATTTTCTAAAATTCTAATTTTCACTTGAGAGCTTGAATTTTATTATTGGCCAAAAATACTGTTTTCCTTGAAGTTCTTTCTTGAGATAATGTCTGTCAAATAACCACGTCTGAATAACTGTAATTTGTCAGTCGTTCTTTCAAATACAAATGGTGTTCATGGACAAAGAGGCTAGCTCAGCTCCAGCTCTGACAACCTCACAAGTGCTTTTCCTCCCGACAGCCATCTACTTTGATATACAGCCCAACTGCTTTATACATACTGCCAGTTTATCCCACAGGGATAGTAAAAAGGCATGGATTTGGGACGCCTGGGTGGCTCAGTCGGTTAAGTATCTACCTTCGGCTCAGGTCCTGTTGGGTTTCTTGGTCAGGGCGGAGCCTGCTTCTCCCTCTGCCCCTCCTCTGCACATGCGCTCTCTCTCTCTCTCAAATAAATAAATAAATTCTTAAAAAAGAGGCATGTAGGGGCGCCTGGGTGGCTCAGTTGGTTAAGCGGCTGCCTTCGGCTCAGGTCATGATCCTGGAGTCCCGGGATCGAG